AGCTCCTAGTCATTAACTATGTTAAATTTCATTTAACTATATTGAAAACCCTGTTCAAGGCCCATGAAATGCTAATTTCAGTAGTGGAAATTCAAGCTGAGTTTTCTAAAATAATTTGTTTGTACTGACAAACTCTTTTTCCAGTTGTGCTCAAGGCAAGTGTGCCTAGGGATGAAGTATTAGAAGGACTGGGCCAGAGTATCGGCGACAAGTGGATGAATCTTGGTCGTCGATTAAACATCAATGAATCAAAACTTGAAGGCATAGCTAAAGATTTTGAACCACTCCATGAAAGGGGGTTTCAGATGTTGAAACATTGGAAACAGAAGCAAGGTTCTGAGGCTAATTACAAGTCCTTATCTGATGCTTTAAAGCACAACCTGGTGGAAAGAAAAGACTTGGCGGAGAAGTACTGTTTTAAGTGACAGTATCCAAGTACCTAATTCTGGAAAACCAAATGATATTGCATTTGTTTAGAAAACGTTGTGTTTATGGGGCATACTTCTTTGTATCACTAGTGAAAGACGTGCTAGAATACATCTCAGACATCATACTTATGGTGTAAAATGTAGTTATGAACTATAATTTATTAATCAACATAGCCTGACATGTCCATCGCCTTAGCTTCCGCACTCAGCCTAAACCTTTTCTTGTCCACCTGAGGGTGCCAGACTTCCTGCAGTCTGCTTTTCTCTCGAACTGGTCAATGCAGTACAGGATTAGAGATGCCAAACCCTCTTCTTGTCCATAGCGCCATTTTGTGTTTGCAGAGTCGTGAAGGTAAGCGCTTGTCATACCTTAAGAGAAAAGGCAGACCCCTAGCTTTCCAGCGGGCAACTGACACTTTAGGCTGACTCCGGTATCGTTGTGGTACTGGTTGCTAAGCACCAAGTATGCATGCAGCGAGAATGTTGTAGGGTGTGGTCGCCGTTACAAAAGCTGCATTTATCAATGTCTGGCATATTTATCTGGACCCACTTTAATAACCTGAACATAATTTATTAGGTAAATGCATCAGTAACACATTAAAGCAGAAACCACAGTCTTTATAGATGTATGTAGTTTTAAATAATAAGATAGAATGATATTGTCAGAGAGGTTATAAATTGCTCCATTTTTTTATATCATGAGATATCTCGGTTTAGTTTGAAGGTTTAGTTTGATGGTTACTTGATCATGAATATTTCTTTCTTAGAGGTCTTCTCTTAAAACTTTAATGTTTTTTGGAGGTTTCTAAAAAGATAACAATTGTTTGTGTTATATGATCACAAAGAGCCTGCCCTTTAGAAGTGCATTTTTTTACCAGTAGTTTTGTCTTGTGCAAAAGCATAGTGACTTTTTACTGTTTTAGTCCTTGCTTTATATGCGTAGCCTCTTGTACTCAGTGTAAACCGCCAGAAGTAGTATAAAATACAGTTAAAATTTTAAGTAAAAGTTGCGGGAGGTATTAGTCTTTCTGGTTCCTTGGCAATTGACGATCAGAGTGTTTATAGCATTCTTGTCCTTAAAGGCCATGCTCCTATTGGTCAGCTCTTCAAGCGGGTCTGACACCGGCCGTTCGTGATTCACATACTTTCTGTCAAATCTGACAAATCTGATTGGATGGGAATACGAAACTAACACTCTGCACAGGCTCAGAAAATCAGGTTAGGTCAGTCGTCAGTTACCACGATTCTTGGTGCTGACCAAGAGGATCGCCTCCTCTGGGGCGAGAATGGACACAGAGGGTGAAGAACATAATGGCCAGGCCTTTGTATTCTTTGCGTTAGTTGCAAACTGGGTCATGAAGCTTGGAATCATGGAGAGAAACAAAAATTAACTGTGCTCAACTCTGACTCCTCGGCTGTAATGCATATTTATGCATTAACGGACTGGGAGGTCCATTTAAAAATGCTGTCCAAGGATGAACCAGTACATAGTCCATTTGTTGCATTCTGATTGGCTACTCAATCTCAATTTTCAAATTAGTATATATATGACATGCCATAGTCTTATAATTGGCTCTTATTAACCAAGCAGGTCTGTATAGGAGAATCTTGACCGAGGTTGTGAGTACAGACCGAATGCAGTGAGGTCTGTACACATGACCGAGGTCAAGATTCTCCTATACAGACTGACTAAGCTTGGTTAATAAGTTGTTTGCTATATGGCAAACAAGAAAAATTTAATTTGTTTAATGTAACTGGTGTGTTCTAGCTGACATTTTGCTTGCGAACAGCGATGAGCCAAACTTAATTCTGCCAAAGTCTTTCTCATCAGACTTTTTGGCACTTCCATAAATAAATATTGTTAGAAAAAAATAGTCAATATTTTTGCATTTTAGTTTGCAACTTTTTCACCGCAAAATGTAACTGGTCTAGATGGGAAAATCTATACTGCTTTCAATATCGATTTCAGCCAATCAAATTTGTGAATTCTGTAGTTCCCAGTCTCTGTGAAACACAGTCATATAATATGTTTTTTAAATTGTATTATTCTTAAACACATTTTGCTTATATTTTTACTGTAATCTTAATCTTACATTGTAAAGCACTTTAGAATATTTTATAATTTCAGTGCTATTTAAATCTAATATTATTTTTATTATTATTTTTACTATTGTTTTTACTATCATTATTGTTATTATTATGACTATTTTTATTATTATTGTTGTTATTGTTATTGTTATTATTATTATTTTTATTGCTGCAGAACTGACCTCAGGCCGGTAATTAACTTTTTTCCCCCTCTGCTTTTTACAACAAGTTTGCACAATATATCTTGTTTTACTTTGGGAGATACAATACAATTGTAAAGAAATCATTGCATGTGTGTCTGTTTTTGCAATCGCTAACTTGACGGCTAAATGGAATAAAACCATTCATGTAAATGTTGTCAGGCTGAGTTTGTAGTTTTCTTTGGGTAAGCAGGGACGGCTTCATGATTAAGGACCGCTAAAATTTCCCTTCTCTGGACAGGAAACACTGTTCTGGGATTGAGTAGCCAATCAGAAAGCCAGAAATAGACTGTCCACTTGTTCGGTATTTAGACCGAGGCAGCCTGAGGATAGTTTTACAGGAAACCGCTGAAATTCACGGCAGACGGCAAGTAAATTCAAGATGGCGCCTTTACTATCAGAGGAAGAGAAGATAGCTAGCGATGATATTAGCCAGGAAAAGCAAATGGAGGAATTTTTCCAGTGGACTCCCCATCCGTCATATGAACCTGAAACTATGGGACAGAAATTTAGAAGAAAGACTAAAGAGAATCCTTTCGTTCCTATAGGTAAGTTCAATGACTTATTGCAGATTGCAGGACGTAACATGTCGATCACAGTCGATCATCGAAAACGTAGTCGATAAGTCGATAGTACTCGATGTTTGTCGATAATTGTCAATCGACAAGTTAAATTTGTCGATTAAAGTCGATAATCACAAGATTTTCAACTGATTATCGATTTTATCGACAAAAATGCAGACAAATGTTTCAATCAGCTGCGAAATTCAAGTAACCAAACCANCTGCTTGTTTACCGGATGTGACGTCACTTTTTGTTGGATGATCCAGACACAAAAAAGTGCCAGGCGTCGCAGAGTGTTCTCCCCCGCCCCTGACAAAAAGGAATCACCCTTGGGGGCTTTATTTTGTAAAATTAAAATGGGCAACAGAACCCTCATTATATCTGTGTCTGTTGCATTGCGATATAGTGCACCATTATTTTTGTTAATATACAGTTTACACTTGTTTGTTGTTTTTAAAACTTTCAATTACTCGCGTGACACTAAATTCAAATATGTCTGTTAAGTCACGCAATATCAGGGAACGCGCGGATGTAACTGGAAACGAGTTGGCTTCACAGTTTGCATTTTTTCGTTGTGAACTGCACCTGCGTTTACTGGCGGTCTGGGCGATAAACGAACTCGCTGAGAGTTGAGAAGATTGATCAGTGCGTTATCGAAGATATAAGTTGCCGTATTCACGGGTGGTTGGTGAAAACTTAAGCTGTGATTACCTGACTTGAAGTTCTGCCTCTCGCTCTATCTCTTCCGCATCACTGGATAGTCAGAAGAGGTAAGCATAGGTAAGCTTCGGTAAGCTTATGTTTTGATGATCGAAGCTCTTAAGTTCATTTTAAAGCCAGATTCTTTCTTTATCTCCAAAGCAACAAATATTTAGATTTAGCCGTACTGTAAACTACAACTTAGCAGGTTAAAAGTTCCAGAAACAAGATCTGCAATCAGACAACAAACACTTTCACTTTCGACTTGAGCTTATCAGCGGGACGTAACCAGGACGTAACATGTCGATCAAAGTCGATCATCGAAAACGTAGTCGATAAGTCGATAGTACTCGATGTTTGTCGATAATTGTCAATCGACAAGTTAAATTTGTCGATAAAAGTCGATAATCACAAGATTTTCAACTGATTATCGATTTTATCGAGAAAAATGCAGACAAATGTTTCAATCAGCTGCGAAATTCAAGTAACCAAACCAATAATACCTCCAGTGACTTTTTTTTATGCTGAGTGTAAACAGCTCTTAAGTAAATGTGTGTGGCAATAAACTTAAATGAAAACCTGAACAGCGAAGTGGTCTGTTATTCATTACAGAATAAAATGTTTAAATTACCTCGAGAAATGATCGATTAACAGTTTCAGCTGAACTAAATCGCGATCTTTTACATAACTCAAACCAAACTAGTTCCCAGGGTCNTACAATGTAACGTTCGAAATTTCGCCGTCACGAGTAATCTATTAGACAACCCACAACTGAAATATTTATTGATTATTTTTATTATATTTTGGGAGGTGGTCCATAGAAGGGGCCCGTAGGGGGAGTCCACGGACTGGTCCATAGGTAGTCCGCGGACCTGGTCCGTAGTGGGGGTCCGCGGACCAGGGGTCAGTGTTTTCAGGTTACCCTTCCATTGTAATTACTTGGAGGTTTGCATTTAGGTTCCAGCCAAGGTGGCAGAGTCATTGTCTTGCCCATCCCTCCTCCCCTCCCCACCCCCACATAAAGAATAAATAAATAATCTAACAACAACAATAACATCCTTTATTTTACTTTTCATCTTATAAATTGATAACAGTGCATTTACTGAAACCCGAGCCACCCAGACAATGAAAACCAATCAGATGGCAGGACTGAAACAATGGATTCAAACATTTTCAAATCCAGCCAGTCAAATGTACTATTTTCAAATGCAGCCAATCAAATGTGCGGTACTAAACAATGAAATCTCAACTTGTTTGTTGTGATGCTTACGCGATTATGGTGTTACTTCTGAATAAATTGTCAAGCTCAAACCGTTAGTAGTTTCCTGTGCTTGTGGGTTCAAGAAAAATTATATTCTGCACTTTCTACGTGTATGGGGTCGTTGGTTGGTTTAGAAAATACATGCCTTTTTTTTTGGAAAGAAAAGCTGCAAAAGAGTGTCACTTGTAAATACTCCACCAGAGTGTGTGGTGTAGGGTTTGAATATTGTCGTGGCTGTTCAATAGAAACACTTCAAAGGTCTCTGAGCTGTTTTGCATGTGTAGGTTCAAAATGTATGAATTGGAAAGGGATTAATTTTGAATTAACTTCAAACAAACTTCAAGCAGGAGAATTGAAAAGTTAACTAGATACAAAAATGGACTTTTAACCTGAATTCTTTGTTTGATATATTTCTTATTTTTCCATCCAGGGGAGGTTCCAATGCATAGCACATCATCTTTTGTTTTTGCCTTAGGAGTGATTGTACATGCTGAGGCTTCAATAGTACAATGTGGAAAAAAAAATTGTTTGAATTTTTGATGATGTTATTTCAATGTACTGATAACCCAGGAAGGGAGCTCAAACTCCAAAATGTACAGCTGCTTAGTCAGTGAACGTGGTTTTTCCAAGAACTGCCTAGTGGACGACCAAAAGCTGTGTAAAAATAGAAACGCACAAACTACAGGAGCACAATTTATTTTGTAAAAAAAGTGGCAAAATCTATTATACTATGATTTTAAACAACTGTAAAAATGATATTTTATGTGGCCATACCTTCACAGTGGAAAACAGTCAATCTAATGAGTTTATCATGCTTGTCAATGTAAAACCTGAAGTAAAGTAACACTATTTTCTAATGCGATACGTATGACTTGAGCTTGACAATTTATTAACGGACTCCATAGTTGCTTAAGTATCACAACGAACAAGTTGAGATTTCATCGTTTTGTATTGGACATTAATTTTGTTTGGTTGGATTTAAAATTGTTCGAATCTACTTTTTCAGTTCTGTCATCTGATCGGCTTTCATTGTATGGGTGGCCCCAGTTTCAGTAAACGCACTGTAAAATTAATAAAAGTTGTAATTATATATGGGTAGCGGGAACCTGAAATAACAAGTGGGTTAAAAAATGCCAGATTGCCAGTTTACAAACTGAATTTATGTATGCATAAAATGGTCAGACATACACCATACAACACACACAGACACATACTCGCCTATTTTTATTGAAATTGGCGAGGCAATGGTGATAAAGCTCTGAGCATGGTTCTTTGAACATAGACATGTAGGCACCGACCCATAGGGTTCAAGTACAGTATAGTTTTCGCTGTTCTTTGAAACTTTTTGGAATCATATTTTGTTTTTGTCATTCAGGTGCTCTCGCTACCGTTGGTGCTCTGTCATACGGTCTTTACTCATTTATAAGAGGAGATGCTCGCATGCAGCAATACATGATGAGGACTCGTGTTGCTGCACAAGGAGGAACACTAATAGCCGTTATTGTTGGGGTTACCTACATGCTTTTTCAAGATCAAAACAAGAATGGAAAAACATAATTTATTGCAAGAACGTCTGTATACTGGTGACAGTATCAAGTTTGAAAGAGTGGAGCTATGAACTGTGTGATCATTAATGGCACTTCTAATTGTGCTATTTGTTCTGAATGTTACGTGGTACATGTAAATTATGACAGCAAGAAAAAACTTAATAATTTTTTTTGCCCTGGGCGTGAGTGAATTGGCTTGTCACTAGCCACCTTCATTTGTTTGTAGCCAATGGGACTCACTGTTTTTGTAGTTAGTTAATTTGTAGATTGCATGTTAATGATAGAGGAGAAATAAAGGCATGACAGGTTGAAACATAGGCACGCAAGCTGTGTAAGAGTTTTTTGCAAAAGTTTTTTGGGGGGAGTGAATTAAAAGCCCCCTGGAGATAGCAGCACTCAGTGGACAGTTATGATGAGGTTAATCCACCAAGTTTGTTTGGTTACAACGTTCAGCGAAAAAAAAAAAAAAACCTTTGAGGCTTTGCGGAGGAAAGAGTGCCTTACACGTGAACATGTATCAAAACGTAACAACGCGAACTAATCAAAACAAAAGACAAACTCAAATCNAAAAAAAAAAAAAAAAGGAAAAAAAAAATTAAGAATTTGTTTCACCCTAGGAAAAAATGTGTTGTCGTGCCTACTTTTATCAAGATGTGATTTTGACAATCGATCTAGTGGCTTTGTTTATTAGAACTACATTGAACTGTTCCCAGCAAGACAGCTAAACATCATACAGTCTGTAATAGTAGCTAATGGTAAATTGCAGATTGGCATTGATTCTGGATAATTTTTGACCCATTTTGTAACAAGAACCAATTTAATTATAACTAATATTCCTCGGCTGATTACTTCCCTCCCTTGTGGTACAAAATCCTTGGGACGCTGTCTCTAACATTCATGTACATGCAGTGGTGG